TATAATAAAAAATTGAATTAAAAAATTACACAAAAATGAGGAATTTTAAATAGTTAATTTGGTATGAATATCGATATATTTTGTTATGCATAAAGTACTGTATATTTATGCATATTACTTAAAATTCAAGATTATAAGTAATTATGCATAAGTACAACTTATTAAAGCTCGATTTTTGAATTTGTATAAATAACTGCGGATAAACATAATCAAATAGAGGATGAACAACTCATTTTAAAATATAAAAAATCTAAGATATAATTAGAATAATTATCGAGTTCCAACAAAATAAATAATTTTTATCTTTATAAAAAAATTATATTATTAAACCAAATATGAATTACTTCGTTATTGTACATAAATTAAATTATTAAAAATTTAAATTAAAAAATTACACAAAAAGTGAGGAATTTCAAATAGTTAATTTGATACTAATATCGATATATTTTTGTCAAAATTTTATGATATCTTCAAACATATATTTTATTCAAAAATAAAAACATTATCGTTTTCTCAAAATCACATAAAGCCATATTATAACATCAGCTAAAGCGAGAGAGAGAGAAAGCGATGACCGGAGTTTCAACGGAAAGAGAGAGACCCTCACGAATGGCCGGAGTTTCAACGGAATCGTACCAAAAGCCGGCACCAGCTGCTCTGGCCGACATAGTCACAGCACTCTCGAACCCTAATTTTGCTGCTGCTTTTGCATCGGCCATTTCTTCCATCCTTGGTGGCGACGATGTGAGAAAAGCCAGTTCTGGGTTTGAACCCATGGCGAAATCAGACGAAGAGGAAGTGGAAAAGCGAGAGGAGGCTGCTCGAAGGTTGGAGGCGAGAAGGCTGGAGAAACAGAGTAGGGTTGTATTTCCGAAGCCGAAGGTGAGGGAGGCGGAGCTAAAGCGACGGGAGAAGAAGAAACAAGCAGAGCAAGAGAAGTTTCCTGTCGAGAACATGTTTCATGAAGATGCAATTTTCGAAACCAGGTCAGTCTTGGAACCGATTGCTGTTGAGAATAGGCTTAGTGCCTCGTTTATACCTCTTGAAAAACCTGAAATTCCTCAGAAGAGTGAAGCAAAACCTGCAGCAACTTTGAAGAAGGAAACAATTGGTAATTTTGATGGTTGGCAAAAAGTGGAAAGAAAAAGAAGGCACAAAAGTAAGGTGTACAACTTCTTTTTCACCAGATTTCCAGACAATTGGGATGAATTAGCTTTGGAGAGCATGTTCAAAAGGTATGGTCGATTTTATTCCCTTTATTTAGCTAAAAAGTGTACTAGCAAGGGGACTAGGTTCGGTTTTGTAAAATTCTTCCATGAGGGTGATGTGAATGCTTTAGAAAAGAAGCTCAAAAGCATCTTCATAGGCTCAAAGAGACTGATTATAAATTTGGAAAAATATGACAATGGGAAAAAGAGAATTACCTCAAAGGATATGTTGCACCAACAGGTTAATTTGGTCAATAGAAGTAAGGCTTGGATTCCTTCTTCTCGGCATGTTGAAAACATCAAACTAGGTTGTGTGGACGGTAGATCGTTTAAGCAGGCTGTTCTTGGTGAAAATGTGCA